AGAGAATCTATCTATACTGTGATCATGCACAGATATATATATTTTAACGCTAGCAGATAAGGCTTATATATATATAGGCCACGCCATAGGCTATAGAGCATTTATAGTTCCTAATCCGGCCTCCTACTATATAGTAAAGTTTAGGCTTCTTTAATCAGGTAAGGCGAACCTCTTTATTTGTAATCCGTTTGTATAGCTTACACACTTTAATAAGCGCTCTAAAGCAGAAGTTTGCTTACTATTATAAGTTAGTTATAGGCGTTACCTACTAAGTATATAGCTAGCATATATATTTCCTATACTGTAATAAAGGAAATATATTATTTATTATATTACTTCCCTCTTTAAAAAAATAATTGCCCTTAATTAAAAGGGCAAGTCGAAGAGCTGTATAAGTAATTCTTAGATTGGCTCGAATAATGCGTAGAATATTTCGTTTTTGAACGCGATTTAATATAGGGGGTCTACCAGACTGCGGCAAGCTATTGCCTTCGTTGCGGAGTGGATTTCGTACGAGGGTGTTGAAAACAGTGGATTTGCCGCAAGTAACTTTTTTGCTAATTTCTGCATTTGACAGCCCCACAGCCTTATAAGCTGAAATCTGACCGCGTTGAAATGGAGATAGCTCCTTGCCATAGCTCCTATTGATTTCTAGAGGCGCCAAAGCCCTGCGTTGATTCATGGTGGTTGGTTGAAAAAGGTAGTAAAAAACGCGTGTTGGAAAAAAAGTGCGCGTCGATCCAATACTTTTGACGTGGTACTGTAACTTGCAGCTCGCGGACATGCGGCGCATTTGCAGGCCACTCTAAACAACTGCCAAAGCAATACCTGATGGAACAGAGCCTACTACAGCCTTCCCGTCCCTCAATCGGCTCACTTGGTGGCGGATGTCGTAAGTATTGCCGAAAGTATAGCTTGCCGAACCTAATAATGTCGGCTCTCCACATTCCAAGTTCGAATTCGTTGTGAGCGTACATAGTGCCACTAGCATATATAACTAGTTCTCCGGTCAAAAGATTGGGCCCACATTATCTTCTCAAAGATCACCATGTACTAGGCATGGCTTGAGGACATTGCCATCAGTTTGAAGTGGTTCGAGAAGCCGTGGGGCGACATATATATTCATGATATCGGAAGCTTCTTCGTATTCGGGATATTTTTGTTGAATTTCTCGATGAAAGAATTGGCCACCAAGACGAACGAAGAAGGCGGTCCAATTTGGTATCCTGCATCATCACCAATTGAGCCTGAAAGCTCATTATTGTCAAGACAGCGTGCACAGGCATGTCTTCTGATAGAAAGCATAGTTAGTTGAGTCACATACGCACATTCTGAGCCCCTGGGGAGCGTTCCAGAACGATAAGGCGTGCAATACCACTCTCGAAGCTGAACAACTGTTCCTTTATATCCCTCATCCATTTCGTAAAATTTCGGTCCGGGACCAGTACTATACCCCAATTCAACAGGGGGCTCAGAGAGTCCAATTGAGCGATATGGAAGAATCCGAAATATCTAAGTTAGGTCTTCAGAAACCTTTGCACTCGAGATTTCTTACAGAGATAGAGACTGCGCAACGCCAATCCCATCAGATCATCGTTGAAATTATATTATGCTCGTTCTGCTAGATCTACTCATTTTCCTCGTTACTTCCCATGACAGCTTATGCATAACTGAAATGCCTTTGGACCAGCATTGATGCCTCACAAAAGAAATGGTGTATACCAATATATATAACATATCTAGGTCCACCCAAAAAGTCTTTATCAATCAACTTATCCAAGCACAACTAATCGCCAGCTCCTATCAGTTTCCATCCAGTCCTTCTCGTTTATGGTCGTCAAATATTCCCGCTGAGCTATACCCTCTTTCCAGCTTATCATCATAATTGTTAAAGCTGATGGAGTATGATCTACCATACTTCCGACAACAATGAAGTCTTGAAGTGATGGCGCCGCTGCCGCCGCACGACCGTGTTGCATGGACCACCGTCTGACCTGTCGGCCCGGCTCGAGCTTAACAACCCTTTCACCTGAGGATGTCTCGCCTGACATGAAGTCAGAACATGCATGTAAGCACTTCCTTGTCACTGGCAAGCAAAGTCTTATTTCCTCTTGGTCGTCACAAACATAAAGACTGGCCAAACTGGTCCAGAAAAAGATGTGGAATCTGCCGACCAGAGATGCCTTGACATGCAACTTTGAGATGTCGGTAGTGGTGACAGTCAGGTCTTTGTGCTTCCACTCTCGCATTGGGTAAGTCGGGGCTTGGTGCTTAAAATTTGGTAGAGTTTGGATGCGCTTACTATCACCATGAATTCTCAACAGCGGGGTATTCGCCAAGTCCAAGCAAATTTCATCACATTCAAGGACATAACATTCCAATTCTGGAACATCAGCTAAGAGTGGTGGTTTCACTTCGCCTTGCCAAGCGATCCAAGACCAAGAGGGGAATACAGTAGTGGCAGATCGACTCCCTCGGCCTGGAGATCTATTGTCAGTCCACAGCAAGTAGTAATCGAACCCGGGCTGAGGAATGGCCCAAATGAACTTAACATCTGTTAGACGGGTGATGACGGAGATAATGCCCTGAAAAGCATGCAATGTATCAACATGAAATGTCGAAGACCGATTGCTGTAGTCCCGGACAAGGTCTCTGTATGTCTTGGCAAATTTCCCTTCAGCCTCGCCTGCAACTGCGTTGATGTTGATCTTTTTTCTCTTCAGACACCAAAGTGTCCATCCTGCAAATGCGGATTTTTGCGTCGGCTGTAGTAACATCTCTTCAGACCACATTGTACGCCGACATTGCCAATACACCTGCTCCTTGGAGAAGATAAGGCAGCGTCGAGAAAGAATACTCTCTTGAAATGTCCATTTGCGAGTATCTATTGGCCAGAAACCATGGTTGTAGCCAGTCGAGTTCTCGATCTCTGTCTCCAAAGTGGACGTCAAGGTCAATTCTTCTGTTTGCAGGACGTGTGGCTGAAGATTTCGTGTTCCCGGTCTTACACCAGGCAGGCCTCCATTTGCGTCTTCAGCTGATGCAGCAACGATTGTGACAAGAGCCTGTTCATAGATGCTGCCCATATACGGAATCTGTTGTAGCTTATCTTCCTCCGAATCTTGTATGATGCATAGGCTATCGACCCAGAGAAAGCGCTCTCCGATCTTGCGCACAAGTTGCATAGCATCACATATGGTCGTTGCGAGGGGCACAGTATCGAGGAAACCCTCTTCGCAGACAGACGCCAGGCTTCTGGCTGTAAGATGCCACTTCTGGGCGCCCGTTCCCCACACGTAACTGAGTGTGAGATACTTTGGTGTTTTCTCGAAAACAGAGGCATCGATAATGCAGCGGCTGCAAGTGTCCACCAGGCGGAAGGCTGGGACTTCATCATATCCAGGTGAAGAGCACAGAGACCCGTGGACGGTTTCACACTGCCTTAGCCAGGTCTTCAGGTTTTGGAAGTCACATTGCAGTGGTCTTGGACGCAAGGGTGCAGGCTTCAACTCCTCCATTTTGGACATCAGAGTCCGAGTCGCTGCCTGAAAGCAGAGCTCGGCCGAATATTCGCTGGAATCACTTCCGTCTGTGGATTGTTGGTCCACCTCCGCCTCAACGAAGAAGCTCAATCTATACAATGATTTCGAATTCCCTGCACTCGGAAGAAAAGCCACAGGTTTCTCTTGAAGCACACATTTGATTGTGCTCCCTCCAGCGTCTAAGGATATGACTCCACCATACCCTTCCTCAAGACAAGAAGCTAAAATGCAGCAAAGACGGCATTCACCTTTTCTCTGTATGAGATCTCGTATGGACCCAAGGTCATAAGAAGCCCCGTCACGGAATCGACCATCGTTATGTACGTGAGGATCTTCCCTGATCAAACCATGAAAATCGATCCTCCGGCAGTGTAAACATAATTCGGTAGCCTCGACAGATGCATCCATTCGTTGGACAAACTTTGCTTAGGGATCCATAAGGGGGCGAATCCGGAATCCCTGGGTCTTTGAAGCCGTTTTGGTGCAGTGTGCATTCCGAGGGGGTTGTATTGACTAGGAAACCAACTAAGAAGTTCGGAGAGAAACAAATGTCCTGCGGCGCCAAGTACGGCGGACTATTATTGGGTTGACGACACATCAAAATTTTGGATTCGAAAATCATGGAGCGCCCTCACAAAGGGCCGCCCCAACTATACTCTCACAGCATTCACTGGCACTTCTCTTATGTATTGCAGCTGTAAAGTGCCATGAAAGACTAAGTCTTTAGCTGATATAGATATAATAAGAGATATTCATCAGAATTCATCTTGCAAACAGCTATAAAGTTAAGCGGTATTGAAAGGCTTCATCAGCGCGGCTGCTTGTTCAGGTAACTTCGCATGAGAGGTCCTTCATCAAACCTCCCTCGATGAAATTTGTAAGTGTTGATAGAGATGTTCCTTTCCAGCCGGGGTGGAGCAGACATCGTCTACCAGCTCGATCACTGGGAAATGAAGAGTCTAGAGCTAGAATATTAGTGACTTCGTTGAACAATTTTGATCAGGCACGTAGCCTCTGAAAAGGCGGGATTTACACCTAATTTTGGGACAACAGGAAAATCCGTTTTCAAAAAGCCTTGCTCAGGAAATATGCAAAGCACAAAATTTGTGGGTAGCTTGTAGGCAAAAGATCTGATAAAGGCAGCCCATCAAATTTGTCAAGCTGACTTGTCCAGGGTGATATCCAATTTCCTTGGCGTGCCATACTCCATCTTTGTACTTTTATCGCAACATGTTGCCGGCTTCCTTGACAACGATGGCTTGATGCCCAGACCCTGGTCATCTCTGACCAGGACGTGGAATTTCAAATATGTCCTTGTTCCGCAGATAGGTTGTTTTTCATCCATATCACACCTGAAGACACTCATCTCTGTCAACTCCGTCCGCGACAGTGTCTCGAAGTTCGTTGTCAGATCCCGTACAACAGATCCTTTTCTCAACCTAGCAATCGAAGACCATCTGCTCAAGACATCTGACCCCAATACCCATATACTCTTTACCTACGTCAACCGTCCTTGTGTTGTCATTGGTCGCAACCAGAATCCATGGCTGGAGACCAACCTAGCCGCTTTGAAATATGGTGTTCCTGTCGCCACAGTTGAAGATGAATGTTCCCGGCAGGAAGTTCTGTTGGTGCGACGGCGGTCGGGAGGGGGCACTGTCTTCCACGATGAAGGCAACCTGAATTACAGCTTCATCGTCCCGAACGACAAAGCTTTCAATCGAGATAAGCACGCCGAGATGGTGGTTCAAGCTATTCAAGGGATATCGCCAGCGGCAGCCTTTGACGGGCAACAACTGCTTGCCCCACATCTTACAAAGGGCATAAGGGTCAATCAGCGACATGACATCGTGATGCCTGCCCGCACAGAAAGTGGTCTAGCACTAGATGAGCAGCAGACGGTAAAAGTCAGCGGCAGTGCGTACAAGTTGACACGAGGGCGTGCCTTGCATCACGGAACATTGCTCTTTTCCTCGCCGAATTTGAAAAGCATTGGCCGCTATCTACAAAGTCCTACAAGACAATTCATCGATGCGAAAGGGGTAGAGAGTGTGCGGTCGCCCATAGGGAACTTGCGCTTTTCGAATGAGCTGTCAATACGCACTGCTTTGAAGGATGAGATTGAGAAAAGCATTGCAGCAGTTTTTGAAGAGCGGTACCCACACGGAAAAGCGAATATCAGCATGGTCGGCGAATCCGACATAGAGGGCCACGCAGCAATTCAAGCTGGTATTACCGAACTCAGAAGTCAAGAGTGGAAGTTCCTCCAGACACCTGCCTTCACCTTCACGAACCAGCAGCTACCAGGGGAGAGCTTCAAGCCTGGCACCCAACCGACCTCCCTTCCAACATCCACCAAAGTCGTTCTAAAGGCAAAGCATGGCATGATCATCGAATCCCACATATCCCTATCGGAGAACCAAGAGGTCGCCGATGCAGAAGCGCAGCAGGCTCGAGCGGTCATACAGAACAAGAAACTTCACGAGATCAAGAATTGGCAACAAGTATTCGCAGGCATGGATAGATGGACACACCCGTCGACGGGGTCGTTGGTGGCCTGGCTCTCTGACATGTTTCCACCAATACCAGATTAGATCTAACATATAGCTTCCAAATCAAATCCTACCTCCCATTAGAATTGCAGTACTGTGACACCCTCCAGCCCATCACAGAAGAATGACAAAATCCGACATCGAGTTGCTCAAAACCCAAAACTCCCAAACTTCGCGCAAGCAGATCGTAATGTTACAACGCCCTCCCCCCCAGCACAAGAGACGCGAAATCACCGTTCGATAATCGAATATCGAGATCGACTCTGTGACTCTAAGGAGTGGCATGATGACCTCCCGCTCCATGCACCAGAAACTCCCATAAACCAAAAAAGTACTATCTCTGCCATCTCCCATCTTATGTATTCCCACGAGGTCCTCCAGCACACCACCACCACCACCACCACCACCACCACCACCACCATTGCCACAATCCTTGAAATGGTTTTTAAAAACTTACGTATCTCAATTTCAATGACACCCACACACAGTGCCAGCTCGTCACAAGAACATAAAGTTGAATCCACGAATTATTGTTATTTTTTTCAATCTTTTTCGATTCGATTTCGATTTGCTTCTCCACAGGCCTCTACCCAATCGGGGAGTTATTGAATCTACCCACAACGCAACAAGAAACAAAACACAACGCAGCAACTCCTCTCACCACCACCACCAACACCACCGCCAACGCCGCCAACTCCCCTTCCAATCCTCCATCTGCCCGACTAAGCAATCTCAGGTCCCGCGGCCACTGCCCCAAGACCCTCAGCACGGCCTCCGCCCTCCTCTCCACCCGCTCCTCGCCCACCTTGACCCGCTCCTCCACCTCCGCCAAAATCTCCGCCGGCTTCATGCCAGCCTGGACCTCGTCTCCCAACCCCACCATCCCCAAACCCGGCACGTGAACCTGCTGGCCTCTCGCCCACCCCACCATCTCCTCCACGCCCTCTCATACTTCTTGCTCGCAGCCTGTCCAGCAGCAGCAGCGGCCCTGCCGAGAACCA